CTTCCTTAGTTAAACCATGCATTCCTTTTAACTAATATTAATGCACGTATATGTACATATCTAAGTTGCTGCGAATATATTCACAATGATCTTGCTTATATATTCATACACTTGTTAATAACTGTGCAGGTCCAGCCATTTTAACTCATTTTATTATTTTAATATTCCTAAAGTGTACACACCTGTCACTTGGAATTCAGCCCTTGTCTTTTTGTGGGTCCAGTTTAAACAGTGCTCCATGAGGTCCCCATGTGCTGGGCGAAGCTGGGGAGCCCATGGGTTTCTGTCTCACTTCCCCACTGGCCTGAAGCACTGTGCAAGCATTTAAGCTGCTGTCCCATGCTGTGCAGTAATAGTCAGCCTCGTCCTCAGGCTGCAACCCAGAGATAGTCAGGGAGGCCGTGCTCTCTGACCTGGAGCCAGAGAATCTCTCTGAGATCCCAGAGGGCCGGTTGTTATTCCTGTGCATCAGGAGTTTGGGGACATGGCCTGGGTGCTGCTGAAGCCAAGCTGCTCCCTGGTTGCCAACATTGTTGCTGTTCCCAGTACAGGTCAGTGTGACCATCTGTCCCAAGGCCTTGGACATGGAGGGCAGCTGAGTCAGCTCTGCCTGGGCCACAGACACTGTGAGGGAGGCAGAGAGAACTGTGAGATCAGGACCACCAGAGCACGCTGGACTAAAGTGGGGGACATAAAGCAGAGTTGGGTGAGGATCTCCCACCTCCCAGGTAAGTTCCACCCTCACCTGTGTAGTGAACAAGGAGGGTGAGGAGGAGAGGAGCCCAGGTCATGGTGCAGACTCTGACTCTGCTTCTTAAAGTTCTGATTTGAAGTCTGGGCCCCCCTAAGTCTCCTTATATCTCCTCAAACCTTGGGGGAGGAGTCGCTGCATTCAAATAAGACTTTGCTATCTGTCTCTTCCTGGCTCTCCCTGCCCTGGGTGCTCACAGGTCAGAAGAGGCAGGAGGAGATGAGCTGATCCAGTAGGTGGAGGTGGCCTGGCCCATGATGATCCCTGGCTACTACTGGGAGGTCAGCATGGTCTCACAAACATGGTCCAATGGACACACTGGTAGCTGAGCCTGGAGGCCCTGAGTGAATTTCCAGCTGGGGGAGGAAGGTCAATCTCAGGATTGTCCCACACTGCCCCACATTGTCCTCAGACCCAAAACCCTACCTGTCTCTCTGACACACCTGGGCATTTCGGTTAGAGGCCACGGGATTTCCTGGTCCTTTTTTCTGAAGCTGCTCATGATGTCAGAGAGGGACCCGGGGCAGCTGGAGACTCTAAACAGTGGTGCTGCTGAGTAAGACAGGTCCTTCTCACTACAAAGAGGCCAGAGGCGCTTTTCTTCTAGCTCCATCAACATACCACGCATGGCATTTTTATTAGATCATCTATTACAACTCCAAAATGCATGGCATTTTTACTAGATCATCTATTACAACTCCAAAAATAAACAGTATTTTCTCTGTCAGTTTTTCATGGAACCCACATGCACAGAGTTTAATTACACTTAATTTCTTAGCACTCCCATCATCGGCCACTGAAAGGCCCTTTTTTATTTTATTTTATTTTACTTCATTTCATTTCATTCCATTTTATTGGTTACCATCATGATCATTCCAAATCATGTCTCCATCTACTCTTGAAGCACCCACTCCAGTGTAAATAATGTAGTTCCAGGCTAACTTCCATTGGATATTCTCGAAGATATCAGTGTTTCTGTTTTTAAATTAAATAACTTTTTTCTTTTAGGTCTCATTCTGCTTCTTTTTTAAAAAAAAAACTTTGTGTAGGTTTTTGCTTGTTTTTTGTTTGTTTTACTTTCTAACTCATAATTATACTTTTATTTTATCCATGTTGCTATAGCTATATGAAAGTTTCTCAGTACTTACAACTGGTGGCTCTACACCTACTACACTGAAGTTTCAATTCCCCTTGTGTTGGGCACTTAAGTTGGTGCTGGTATTTAACCACCAGGATGGAATTCCCCGTGCACATTTCCTCGTGCCTTGTGTAAGGGTGCACGTGCTGCACACACACGTGATATGCTCTGAGTGCTGAGGGGCATCCTTCCAGACTGACTGGACTGACTTACACGTGCCCATCTGTGAGCAACAGATTATGATTCTTCACATCTTCACTGGTGCTTTATTTTCATTTTCTTTACAAAATCACTCCTCTAACATCCTCCAGGACTTCATGAATCCCTCAGAGGTAAGTCCATAGTTCTCAAAAGGTCCACAAGAACCTACACTTTTCTGCCTCTTCCCCTGCCTGTGCCAGCTCCTTGATCCGTGTCTCACCCTCAGCGCTCTCTGACCTTCTCAACTCTCTCTACTGGTTCCAGCCATGGGCCTGTTGCTGCCCCTCACCTCCTCCCATCTCACTCCCACCTGAAGCCCTTTTCCTTTGCTGGTGGCTCTGCCTGGGCAGCTCCCTCCACACAGTCATGCGGGGCTCACTCCGCAGCTTCTCCTGGGAGATTCCATTCCCTTCTTTTTGCCTTTAGTGCAATTCACCTATGTTCATATTACTTTTATCCACTTACGTTTTGCCTGCTATGAATATTTTATTGGCATTTTTGCCCATTTCTCTTGAGTTTCTTAGTTATTTGTCTTCTCTATTTGAACTTTTCATTTGAATTATATATAGCAGTACTTTGTCATCTGGCTGTTGAGAGACAGAGGGAGAGATGAGTCTGAGAGAGGTTTTGGAGTTTGAACCCACAGGATCAGCAGGCAATTAGATGGTAGTGGCATAAAAGAAGAGTACACGATCCTCTTAATTGCACAAAGATTCTCTCTTTGTGGTGATGTCTGGTTGGCACTGATGCCATGTCTTTGATCCAGGAAGTGGGCAATGGGGTGGGTACATGTGACAATGTCTGGAGACATGTATCCACTCCATATCACATTTGGGGCAGAGGGGTGCCACTGGTATCTAGAGATAGAAGACAGGGATGCTGCTAATCACTCTTTAATACACAGGACAGCCCCCTACAACAAAGAGTTCTCTGACCCAAAAGTCAATTAGTGCCAAAGTTCAGAAACTAAGGCAAAGAAAACATTTGAGAAGGAATATAACTGGTAATGAGTCTGGTTTTGTTTTTCTTGATTTATAGAACATGGTGGAAATATGATGGTGAAATTCAGGGAACTATTAGGGCTGCAGGGACTTTCTTTTCTCTTCCTGTAGAAAAAGTATGAAAATAGGAAGGTTTGCTTCATAGAGTTTTTAGCATTCATTCATTCATTCATTAAACAATTATTTAAGGAACCTCTGGAATATGGCAGCAGTAGGACTGGTACCAGACAGAAGGCCATTCTGGCTGTTGCAGGGAGATTGGGACACAAGAGATGGAAAGGTCTGTCCACCACAGACCCATACATATGCAAAAACAGTTTTAAAACCAACTCTTCTATATACATCTCCTGAAGAAGGCAGGAAAGCTTTCTCTTC